CGATTTTTCCGATTTTAGAAACGAGAAGGAAGAATGTTCAGTAATTGCTTAAGGATTACTAACAGTTTTATTGCATTTTTGAACTTCTTGAGGTTAAGCGGAAAATATAATGCTCACTGTTTAATACCTTCTCATAAATACCTTTAAATACCTAATCTGTTTTCGAATCTTTCACTACCGAAATGTAAAATTAAAAAAAAATTGTTTACAATAAAATTGTGCGTTTTAACAAGTGATTATAACAGTACTGAACCTCCTAAAACGATAATAATCCGTGTTTTTGTCAAACTTGATCTCCGTATTTGTCTCATTCATATAAAAGCATAAACATGTATTCGTATTTTGATGTGATATGATACATATAACAAAAAATGCTGCTTATTTATCAGTCACGTAGCAATTCGTTTTGAATAATTACACTAAAAATAGAGATCATCATATCATCTATTTACTTTTATAAATTACTTAATTTTTCATTTTTCAATTACTTATAGTACACGTCAGGGTGCCCCCAAGAAAGTGCTTTTGGTTCTCAGACAGATTGTTTTTTGTATTTATCATAGCTAGCGAGGTATTATTGAGACAGACACAAATACTATATCATAACTTGTTTTTAAAGAGCAACTCTTTCGATTAGATCGGTGATTTGTCAAGATTGTCTGTGACATGCTGGTAGAGCTTATCGGCGATTTTGTTCTTACATAAATCGATAAATTAGTTATTGAGAACTTATACTGATCTCATAAAGATGAGTGACGTTATAAGCGGATGATGAGAATACCGTGGATATCAGAGAAGGCTAGAAATACAGTGGGGGGTGGGTACTACCACAAAATGTAGGGTGATTGTCCCAAATTGGGGCTCCAGACCAAAATTGCTCCATAAATTTTTTCATCGATTTCCGGCCATTCTACATAATAGAATTAGATATTAGAAGGTAGGGGAGACAGTTTTTAATGACTTCATAAATAAAAAAAAAATTTGAATGACAATTTTTGACGTCATTGTTTGGTTAGATAGATTTATGAGAGATTGGAGTTTATTTGGTCCAAAAATTTTTTCATCGATTTCTGCTTTTTTCAGACGATTGAATGATTATATTGGAGGCGGGGAGACACATTATTTTTTTATTACAGCATACATCATAAAGTATATGATGTATGTACACCTATTTCTTCTTTTATTTAATATTAATAAAAAAAAATTATGTAGTGACAATCTTGAGATTAAAAGCTTGTATAACTTTTAACACCCTCCCCCTTCCGCCCCTGTTCTCCTTACTCATCTCTTCCCGTATCTACAGTTTAGAACTGTGATTTGAATTTTGAAAAATTCTCATTAAAGAAACTTTTATGTATGACGTCATAAAAGACTGTCTCCCCCATCTTCAAATATCTAATTCTAATATGTAGAATGGCCGGAAATCGATGAAAAATTTTTTGGAGCGATTATAGTCTGGAGCCCCAATTTTGGATAATTACCAAATGTATAACAGAGCGCTATAGAATGGAAGGACCTAAGACTCCTTATAAAACATAAAGGGCTAGTCAGACATATTAAAAGCAGAAACAGGTACAATAGGGGCAGATAAAGGCCAGATGTTCTAGTTTTTCCGGAAAATTTTCTGTTTAAAATTTGATTTATATTTGACAATTGATAGTTTAACCAATATACATATTACACATATTAAGAGAATATTTTGAAAGATTATTTGAGTTTAAATTAAAAGATGTTTTTCTATGTATAAACAATAAACTGAACAAGTAACAGATGTACGGATTATATACACTCAAAAAGGGAAATTATCTATTGGCTTTAATACAATATAGGCGGAAAAGTAAACGCTTTTGTTATCAGATGGTTATTTACACATATTTGACTCACAATTGCGTTTTCATTATGAATATATTACGTACCATGCTCAGTGACGTACACGTTAACGCATAATATTATGCATGCACAAAATAATATTGATTAACTTTATCACGTTGATAGCTAAAATGAGAAATTTCTGAGATAAATATCTTATTCGAAAAATGGAAATAACTAACGCTTTACTAATATAACTGATGATGTAAAATGATAATAAAATGTAGATACTTCATAAATGCGTAGACTGACAGCATACTACATATGGTCTAGTTGACCTCTAGGGTATGTAAATTACTTCTTATTTTGTTACAAAAAATACTAGCGCTTGTTTATTACACAAACAGGAAGAGGTGACACCTCTTAAATGTGGAGGGCATGACAATATAATTAACATTTGCAGCGTTAAACTGAAGATTATTTAAATTTTTTATGGGTCATTCCAGGAAAACACTTGAAATTGCGTATTGTTTAATATTATTTGAAAATCGAAGAAATCAAAAATGCATTTGTTCAATTTTTCTCATACAATTAGGTCATGCTAAATTAGTTTCATAATTTTTCATTTTCAACAGATTTTCTTTTTATTGGAAAATTTTTCGAAATAGGAATTGGAAAGTACCATCCGAAAAATGAAATGGACCATAGTTAATAAATATGTTTGCAGAGTTACGAACTTGTGGTCTTTGTAAAGGTGCGTCTTCAAGTCAATTTTCCGAGCTTAACTATAAAAGGACGTATTTTCCTATTCGGCCATGGAAAATCCGTAACAATTAGCTTCAAAATGTTTCTATTGTCATGTATATCTTCTTTGCATCACAATAATTATAAAGTTTTTAATCCTAAGACTGGTTGGACACGCACTTATTTTGATTCAATTTTCGTATTTCTCTTTGAACTTCTGTTTCTACTTCTAGTATGTAATCTCTAGCTGGGCCTTCATGTCTGAAAAGAACTTCTACCAACTTATCTAACATATTATTGGCTTCTATAACACCCTCTATTCTCCTACTCATTCTAATGCTACCTTATTTCTAACTTGTCTAATATCGACGATATTTTTAACATCTTCCTATAAGGCGAATATAAAATATTCAGCATAACTTACATTGCAGGTAATAGGTGATATCCACTTAGTAACCGCGATTATTTCATATTTTTCAGAATTTTTTCAACATTTTCGATTAAACGCACCTGATATCAGAATGTGTTTATTGCTTTTCATAAATCATATAATCCATTGTCTCAAGTTCGTAAAACAATAAACTCAAGTAGTATTAGTATGTAGTAGTTAAGTGTGCTCATTTCTCACGCTTCGAAAAGTTATAAATATACAATTTTGTCATAAATTAATTTAGATTAGGCAGTAAAATTTTTTCCTGTAGTTCTAATGCTTCAAAGTTGATGCTTCATTGTTTTCAAGGTATAACTAACCAATCATTCTGTTATCAAAACGATTCTTTTAGTCAACTCATCACGGAATGACATATATCCTAGGTTTGACGTCAATAAAAATAGATATTAATTTCGGCTTCTGACTGATCGTAATTTTTAAAAATTTATTAATCTAACCCAAACCTAACATAACCAAGTTTACTCTAACATAAGTTTCAGCATATCAGTCCGGACGTACGATTATAATACAAAAAATTGACTGAAACGTTAATCAATTACAATTATTTCTGTAAAACCGGAAAATTAACTAGCACATACATACACGTATATCAACACTTATTTGGCTATAAAATGATGAAGAAGAGCATTACCATAGATATCCGGGAATAATTTTTATCATTCTGTTTATCCTAATAAATGTTTACTAAAATTTAAACTACATATATATAACCTATCAAAAAAAAAAAAGATTATTTACAGCTCGCAAAATAAAAACATTGTAATTAGTATTTACGCAAATGTAATTAAAAAACAAAATGTCATTCTAAATAAATAAATAAACTGATATTTCATTATTTATTTGCAGCTACAGATTAACGGTCAGTAAGGTTTAAGTATTTTAATTTCGAGTTAATTTATTAAAAACGCTCAGTGTGCTTTTATTTACTAAAATAAAAACAAAAATGTTATCTAATGGTAACCTTACACTTGTTGATAACTTTAAACAAGTAAAAGATAAAAATATTTTTCATTCTGTTTGTTTCAACGCTTACTTTCAACTTCATTTTTCCAGTTTTTTCAAAGCAATTTCGGGCTATTTTTCAATACTTTGTACAAGAGTGGTTTGTATTTGTACAATGTAAAATGTACATCGATAAACATTTACACTCGAAATCTGATACAGATTATACACAGTCGGACAGGTTTTTATGTAAAAAAGTTTTGGAAAATCCTTCGAATAGGTTGACCTTTTAATGCAAAACCAGTGATCATATTACTTCCTTCCCTTTTACGGTCAATCCAATATTTAAAATTTGGACAGGGAAAGTGGATCGTGCCACTAAATCATTTGGAAGGCTTTTTTTCTAGATAAAACACAAAAATAATTGCAGTCATTTCCAATTTGGAATTTATTTTCAACATTTGTTTTTCGATTTTTTTTTGTGAATTGTACCGTGAATCGTTATTAGTCATATAATGAAAAATCCTCTTGTTTTTCTTGAAATTAACACTCAAACTCCACAAAAATTAAATCTTTGGGCACGATTTTTTTTGTGATCATATCATTGGGTCAGGAAAACAGTATTATGTATTATGAAATATAGAAAGACGTTGTTTACCCCATGCTAATTAACATTAGTAAATTGAGAAGTAGTGTATCTTTACCTTTACCCTTATAACTTCTGATCTGCAACGCTTCAATCCGTTATCCATGTCTAATAATCGTTTTCGAAATTTCAAATCAATCGATCTCGAACACATAAGTGATTTCCATTTGTTAAACGCGACTTGACCCTGTGCTTTTTCCATCCTGAATTATATGTTCTATTTTTATTCATTTTCATATCATGGCAAGAGTAAACTTATAAACTAAAGAACACAAAAACGTTTTATGAATAACCCAAAATAATGATTGCGACACACTGTGGCTTCTTCAGGTGGAAGAATACATGTGAAGTAAAAGTGTCATCTTACAATAAGCTTATGGTCAAATATTTAGCTTTATAGAGGATGTAAATAGTAATTTTAAAGATTTTTTCTAGTATGAATTATTATCTATTTATACAATATTTGATTAAAAACAATTATATACTAATGTAGGTGTTCGTAATTTTCCACATCGTGTAAATATACAATGACTGATAACTGGGCTTTTTCCAGAGAAATGTTGTTTTTCCGTTACACAGTAACTTTTTACTGTGAGGAAATGTAACCACACATTTTTTAATCGATCATTATTGTACAACTTTTTTGATAATCTTACTTAATTTTTGTTATATTCTACAAAGATAAATAACGTAAATTAATCTACAGTACACCTTCAGTTGAGTTTCATCCCTTATTTTAAAAGGTAGACACATAAAATTGAATTTATTTTAATTATTCATCTTTTTTCAGGAGCTGTTAATAATAGTGCTGTCAATGAGGCTACACTAATTATTTATCGATTTCCCGAAGAGTTAGGTGGTAGTCTCAATAAAACAGAGGAAACAGGTAATTAGAGCTTTTTTCGTATCTATTAATTTTACACATAAAATAATTTTGCATTTATTTCCTACGAAGACTTAGGTTCTTTAGCAGAACAACCATAAAACTGATAATAAAATGGTATATGTAATATCTTTAAGAACATATATAAAAACTATACACAAAATTATATCTAGGTTGGCGAAATTCTCTCTTTTTTCTATCGTTATATCCTAAACTAATATCCCTAAAAGTAATATAGCCTCACGCGTTCCGCTGTTTCTTATTCTAAACCCGAATTAGCCATCTCCTAAAATTTCTTTCATTCTGCTCCACGCGATTTTAGTTAAGATTTTTGACGCATGAGAAGTTAAGCTAATTTTAATCTCAAGAAAATTTCGGAAAAACGCACCGGGGAAGGAAATCGCAATATCTACTTTTCTTACGTAAATGTGTAATATTAACACGGAACTCAATGTGGTTTTCCATTCATTTTTAGGGATGTCAAGGCGTCTTGGGCTATGTGGAACTTAACATCTGCATTAATGTGACCCACCCTTGAATCCACTCATTCAGAAAAATAGTCGGCCATGTTCCGGTTTAATCGGAAAGCAAAATTTAACCAATTTTTAGTGTCTACTGGCAAGATTTATCCCAATCAAATATTTCAAACCAGAAATTACACATGACACTCTTATTGCACATGACACTCTTATCAAAAATTTTATTTTTGATTCTCTCATGGCGACTGTGAAGTATTCCAGCCTTCGTATGTTCGTATTTATTTACAATACATTAACAATAATATTATTAGTTTCCTCATCCAAGGTAGTCAACCAGGCAGTCAGTTGTTATTAAGGAAGTGTATATGAGAAGATATATACAACACATTTGTTTTTTTTGTATTTTTTTAAATATAGTTTTATACAAATATATGTACTTGTAAATACGATAAGGTTGATATGGTATTTTGATTAATCGTACGAGATACACACAACACGCCTTAAAAATTACGTTTTTACCTTTGTTAAGCCTACGTCAATGAAAGAAGAGGCAGCTTAATACGGTCTAATCAATCAATTTCCTATTTTTATTTGACATTTCTGTAGTTTCAGAAAGCCTAGAAATTTTATGCAATCAAGTAATCACTCCTATGCTCGCGAATGGTTAATTTAGAAATTCGAAAAAGATTGTTAAAGGTGTATGTTGAGAGCGCGACGTTGTACGGGTACGAAAAACATGGGCAGTTGGCGAGGCGGAAAAGAATAGGTTAGAGGCGTTCGAAATGTGGTGTTACAGGCGGATGATGAGGATAACGTGGATAGAGAAGGTTAGAAATGAAGAGGTATTAGAAAGAGTAAGAGAACATAGGACTCAATGGAAGTCAATAAGAAATAGACGAGATAGGTTAGTAGGCATGAAGGTCTAGTCAGAGACATATTAGAGGCAGAAACGGAAATTAGGAGGGGTAGAGGTAGACCTTGATTAGATTACTGTTCGCAAATAGTTAACGATAGAAAGAAGATTAGCGCAGAATAGGAAAGAGTGGAGGAGCGTGT